AAAACGACTTGGGCAAAATGAATTATTTTTTTTTTCCACATTATTGAGAATTTCTCCGGCTTTCAAATGGCGTCAATGAAATTCATCTAGCCACTTCAGCTATTGAGATATCGGACAAAACGTGGTGGAGTCATTAATCACTCGTACCTTTCACGCTCGACAACATGAGCAAAAGAAAAATGAATGAGTGATGTATCTGGCATCCCTTCTAGCCACGTAATTACTCTCGAAAAAAAAAAAGAATAGAAAAAAGATAAAAAATAAATACAGAAGCCCCGGACAGACGACGATTGCATCAGTTGGAACAACGCCGAGTTGATTCATGTCTACAAATAGGGAATGCCACGAGTTGTTCTCTCGTTTTATATTTTTTTTTTTCAGTCTTGACCATTTTCCAATGCTCGATTAATCAACATCACGGGAGAAACACTCGATGGTGAAAAATCGAAGTGAGGATTCCTAAATAGCCGTGCGCACACCACGAGAAAACAGAAAACATCGGAAGAAAAATAAGGGATGAAATCGATTTGAAGTTGAGAGAGAAATAAAAATAGCCGATAGAGGGAATATTCATGGTTATTCGTCGGGGGATATCTATCAAAATATTGGGGGATCATTTGAGGTCCTGAGAAAATATTTTTCAACCCCCGGAGGACTCCATAATTCATTAAAAAAACTGGAAGAGAGGAAAAAATTCAAATTGAGAAATAGCTATTCAATTTATGGTAAATTTTCCACTGGAGTCTCGGGATATGACAAATTGGTCGAGGAAAAAAAGAATTTTCATGTGTTTAAAATAAAGTGAGGGGTGTACTTGAGGTGGGGGTAAGGCTGTGGATGGGATTTGTGGATAAAATATGACACGTTATCTCGAGTGAGCAGAAAAGCCGCCCCGGGGTCTGCCTCGAGTAGAAGTCCTTGCGATAACACAGTCTTTCTGTCTTTACGTTCTTCACTGGAATGTTTTACGTTTTTTCAACGATCCGGCAGTCCGTGAAATACCGAAATCGTCACTCGAGAGGCATTTCACCGAGTTCTTGAGGATGAGAGAATTTTTTATTGTCAAACGTACGAAAAGAGAGGAAAATATGAAAAATAATTTCCCAGGAGACGAAACGAGTAGAAATTTTTGAAAAATTTAATTGAAAAATAGACAATGGATATCAATTAATATTAATTGACAGCGAGATCGAGATTTATTTATTTAAAAATTATCTCATCAAATGACAATTCCCCAGGAGTTTTTTTTTTTTTAATTAAAGAGTCATTGAATGACATTGCAAAATAAACTTGAATCAAATACTTTTTTTTATCTTCTCAACTCACCACTGGAAATAATTCATCTAAATGGAAAAATGGGACAAAGGTACAACGACTTGGTGGGTTGAGAAATAACGGGTGGAGAAAAGAAATTGATGAAAAGAGAAAGAAACGGGAGAAAAGAGATCTCGTTATCGCCTGGTGGTGTACCATCTCTGAAGTCATTCGCTCCAGTCTAGGTGAATTGGTATATATGTATCTTTTGCTTTTGGTACCCAGCGATGAGAGAGGGATTTCAAAATGGGAAAGGAGCCAGAGGGTTTATGGGTGGAAGAAAGAGGAGAGAGGTAAACCCATGGAAAGCCTCTCTCTCGATCCTCTGTAACCAATTACCAGGACTTCAATCAACGTGTAATCAGCGAGGCGTACGACGTGGCCCGGATGGGAAATTGATTGTGCCACTCACTGATACTTTCGTATAATTAATTGGAGCTCGTGTAATGATTAAGCTATCATTTCATACGTATGAAAATTTATGACTGATCGATTTCTCTAGAAATTCCACGAAAATCCGATAAATAATTTCTATTGATTGGCTCGGATGTGATCGATAGTCACTCAACTCGATAGATCGAAAAATTTTAGCTGGATTTGAAAAAAAAATCACCTCTCTCGGGTGATCCGTTCGGGAATAAATCCTCATTCAAATTCTCATAGATCAATCGATCAATCGATTATTTTGTCGAAAACGATAAAGGGGAAATCACAGATTTTAATAAATGAGAGGAATTCAGGAGGAATTTGACAAGATGTGAAAATTTTTGATGATTAATTCGAGGAGATAATCGCCATTGTATTTTTTATAGATCATAGATCGATTTCTAGATCATTGACACGTTTTGGGGTTTAACTCGGGTCCTATCGGGCCGAAATTGATGGTCTTTTTTCCACTGGATGGGTAAATTTTTCATTTTCAAAGTGGCATGAATTTCAAAAGCTTCACGAGAAGTGAAAAGCGCTTTTACGAGTTGGTTTTATTTTCCGGCTCCACCGGCATACTATTTATTACCTCTTCAAGGTCCGATAAACATATAAAATAACGATAAACAAAATCCTCTCGTATCCGTAAAACTCCAACAATACGAGCGAATCGAATGGCACGGAAAGGCATAGCTTCATTTACGACAGGTGACATTAGGTTCTAGACAAGTAGAGGTTCCACGTTATAGTCGGACATCAGAATCCCCCATTGACCTGCACTACGATCCTGGCATTCGATAGATTGGAAAATTTATCGTGAAATGATAGCACAAAAAAAATAATCATCTAAATAGCTGATTTTTTTTTTAAAAGAAAATGCCGAAAAATCAAATTAATTTAAAAATTATGGATAGGCCAAAAGAATTTTTTTTTTCATTTTTTCATTTCCATTTTTTTGACAGCTTTGAATTTTTTTATCTTCATCTATGAGTTGAAAATATATGGCATCAATCATCGGTTGATAAAAAATTTAATGTTGAGAGAAAAATCACTTTCGCTGTATTTTTTTCCGACCTATCGAATCGTGTCATCACCGATTCCATCCCTCCCCCCAATAACCGAATAACCTTCGAGATCTTTAATCTCCACAATTGAGGTATTGCATAAGTTCCCCATAATTTGCTTGAACTTCAATTTTCTCAACCCCATTACCTTCTCCTTCAACCCCTCATTACTTAATACACCCTCGTAATTTTTTCACCCCGGGAAAAAAAGGGGAACAAAATGGCTAATGCACTTTAGCTGATAGGGGGCGCATGAAAATCGATATTCGCCAGTATCTTGGCCCCTGATTCGCCTAATTGGTTGGCCTGTCGAGGCCAGTCCCTGTTATCTCAGATAGGGGTGAAATCAAAATTAACCCCTTCATTTCCAAAAAAAAAACCTGATACACGTTTTCAAATTTCCTCCAAAATAAATAATTCCTAATAATTCCGAAAAAAAATGTCCAGAAGCTGTACCAAAACCAAAAAAAATATCACCCCCCAATAATTCGCCTGGCACTCGAAGAATTGCCGTCAACCCCCGCAACCCCAGCGTCACCCGGAAAAGCCGGAAAAACTTGTCGAGTCGTTGAAAAGAAAAAAAAACAACCGTAAAAAAGTTGATGCAACGAGATACATCGGAGCCATGAATATCTCCCGTGAAAAATGCATTCATCATTTTCACCGGGGCGAAAAGGGGGAGGGATTCCAGTGAGGTGGAAATGGGCGGGTGTTACAACGAGGGAAATTACCAGGACTTGGTCATGACAGGAGCAAGTTATTCTGCAAGTACTCCATTCTCATTTCCACGCCTTCACGTCTGTACTTACAATTCACCTGCACTAGTTTTCCACCCCCTCCCCCCCCCTCCCCCC